CGACGGCCATTTCCAAGACTCGATCGTGATGGATGATAAATTTCCCGTATCCCATATATCGATAGGAATTGGTGTTCTCTCTCAATCGTCGCTTTTATACAGCACTGTACATTTTTCAAATCGTTCAAACAGCAAATTAATTTATTTTACACTTGAGTCAAATTCGTTTTCGATTTATGGTTACACTAGAATATATTTCTAGAGAAATTGAGGTTTAAAACGTATCTCAAAATGCTTGAAAAATACTAGCCAAAGGATCTCTGTGTGAGATCGAGTGACAGTTTTCTGGCAGAGTCAAAATTGCTAGCGTGGGCAGAATTTAACTAACGAGCGTGATTCAATCGATTCGCAACAAGTGTTTATGTCGATCGGCCATCGTCGCGCCGTTGCATATCGTTATGACCGGGTAAACGTGGCATAAATCTTAAAATATTTCCAACTACTTCTTGTTCATTGAAAAATCCGACGAACACTTCAAATTAGTAACCATCAGAAACTATTTTAATTGGAACATTGTGCTAGACGATCAAATAAATTACATAGTTGTAGTGATATAATAAATCAGGAATATGTCCAAGAAAATTCTACTTCAAGCGAAGAAAATAGAAAATGAGCATAACTTTATTGTTGCCAATTTTTTACATTACACTAGAATTTGAAAATCTGATAAAATGTTTTGACAAATATATCAAGATATGCACCTTTGCGCATCGACTTGCCAAAGTATTTACATTAGCTGCCATGTACGGGTTCACGCATACGCGAGAACAATCGCGTGTGCGCGTGTGTCAGCATTGGAATTTATAAATAAATATGTACGCCGGCCATATGCCACAGAAGAAATGGGATGGCGTTTAAAGAATGCTTTAATTCTATCATAACTAGAAGCTGGAAGCGATCAGCTCTTTGTGCGGAAAGGTCCTATAGTGATAAGAGCTCGATCGATCGGGTTGCCTGAATTTTATTCGAAATTGTTTGGAATTTTAATCGATCTCCTCTCTCGTTCACCGCCTTTTCTTTGCCTTAGACGAGTATCAAAGATACGATCGAAATCGGGAATACCGGTGTTAAAAAGGAGTATAAAACGGTAAGAGGAAGGCTTGTGTTTGGAATTCTTTTGGCAAACGATCGAAGGATGTTTTCTAGTTGTTAGTTTGGGCAAGTGAATTGTTATTGCGATCTCATTTCTCGTTGGAATAGGGAATTTTGTAATGCGAGGTTGGCCGCTCGAGTTCGGTTCGTTGGCAAATGTGAAAGAAGCGTTCTTATATATAAAATTGTACTGTACATATATTATCTATTACACACGTAGAAAATAGAGCATAGGAAGGAAGCAACGCGTGCGGGTATTGATAGACCGACCAAAATATCTCTCTCGTTGATCATTCGGTTTTTTCACTTCGATCTTTGGAGGCGTTCAAAAGATTTTTTTAATTTGTGCGATCGACCAGCCGCGGAGTCGCATTGTTTCTAATTATAGAGCCGCGTAGCCGTGTTCATTGACGAAAGTTGGCGTTGAAAATAAAAATGAACAAGCTGGCTGGCTGGCTCGCCGTGCGGACACCACGGACGGGATCGATTCTTTAACCGTGGAAACCGTCATTAGATGTCGATCGTCATTAAGTGTCGATATTATTATTAGAACGTTATGCACGTTCTGATAATCTGAGGAACGCGAAGAATATTTATGTAACCGCGTGACGTAGATTTATAACATTGTTGTACGAGAAGTGCCGCGGTATCACCCGTCCTCTGCCAAATGACGCGCGTGTGATCAGAATAACGTGGTCCGTATCTAACCCAAAACGAGTAACAGAAGCAGCTTTTCACTTCTTTCGAGCGGTACCTTCGCCGAAACCTTGGCTAGAAAAAAACGTATTAAACGTTTAACAACCGGAAAGTGAGAGAACGAAAGCTAGTTTTTGCACGATCCTACGATGCACCTGTTTCGCTTTCTTCGGCAGAGTCGTGCCAACTTGCAAATATTGTTACAAACGCGTGCGTATAAATAATGCCGTGTTAACGAATCTCTGTACTCGTGATGCACCGCAACGTGTTGCAACGTGAAATCGCGTTATTTATATTAATTTCATTGCGTCAGCTTCGATCGAAATCCGACGATGCCGTTGCCGATCTTCGAAGCTCGACGATGTTAACGAACCGATGTAATTCGGAACGTTTCGAGGAACGGATGGGAAAAATCACGAATAAATCTTGACGTCCGGACGTATTTTGTCTTTTGCACATTCCATGCGTCGACTTTTAATTAAGGACGATAATTAGGCGCGAATGAACCGGAGCGGCTCGGCGATAAATCTTCGCGACGTTTTTTCCTCGTGCTTCAAGTTTCAAGGCGTTCCTGATGACGCTTATCGGCCACACGGTGTGCGGTAGTAACGTTTATCTTACGCGACACGCGTTCTTTGCTTTCCGACCTCCACCCAATTGACACCCTTACTCTAATTCGTGGTTAAATACAAGAAAGAATGAGACCGCATTCATAGCCGAAATGTTTTTTTACAGGCCGTTCCATAAAAAGCTGCTAAAAGTTAGCGATTGGTATTCTTAGTTCATAAGAAGATGTAAATGGATGAACAACAATTTTAGATTAGTATGCACACGTCATGCTAAAACAATTTATGTCTCCATTGTTTAAAAATAATTAAGATTACATTGAACTTTTATGCAAATTAAAAATTTCGAACATTACATTGAAGAATTAAATATAATTTGTTGATTCATTATGCTAACTCTATCGTGTCCCGTATATTGATCGTTATAAACATAGAACGTAAAATACGATAAGGAAATATTTCAAAGTAGACTAAAATAATTTTCATATTAAAAGTAAATTGATAAAAAAAATTCCATCTTCCGTCTTGTTGAATTAAAGTTTAACAGTAAAATGACATTGTTCAAGAAGTGGCAGGAAAAAAATGATTCGAAGCAGGCGCAATAATTCGTGGTCACGCAGACATTCGCATTTATCTTCGCAAGGTTCTTCCATATTTCTTTCATACGTGCATCCATTATTTAAATGAACGATCCTCGTCGAGGGTGTGCGAGCAGTTGTTTCATATTTACGAAACCGAGGGAATATCGCGAATCATGCGACCCTCGCGTAATTAATCAACTACGAATCTACGTGTCTTAATTAATCGAATCTTCTTTTCTCGAAGGTTGCACGAGCTCTCGAGTGGTATACTCGTTATCCTCTCTTTGTCGAATTTAATATTCATCATCGTCACCTTGTGTGTCCTGAATCGATGCCCGAATAAATTATCTTAATAGAAATCTGTGCCCGTCAAATCCTTTAGTTTTCTTTATAACACGTAGTATCCTTTTTACGAATTTAATAAAGAGAGGAGAAAACTTTTAAGTACTAAGTGCTCGACATCGATCGCACGGATTCATACGTAGCGTATTTCGTTTCCTTTAAGGATGTATTGGCTATACAGTCAATCCCAAAAGTTTATGTACCTTAGAAAAACGCATTTCTTATAATTAAAAAGAAATCAGACGTCGGAAGAATAATGCTAATACTAAATAGCTACGTGCTAAAAAGTATAGAAGGAAATATCCAATTAAGTATTGACGCTGACGAAAATTTCTTTTTTTCAAAATTGCGAAAAATGCTTCAAATACAAGTTGTTTTCCTTCTATCTTCGATATTTAACGAGTTACGTATGATTATTTGGCATTTTATTGATGTTGACAAAATCCGACCATCCCAGCGTCGAAACGGCGAACTTTTGGAAAAAAATTTCGTTTTTCCTCAATAACTCCTAAACCGTTGGTCCTACAAGAAAATTGCATACGACCTTTCTTGTAGAG